TAATATCAAAGTCAGTATTTTTACACATACAAGCAATGATATTGGCAGCGCTCACATTGCAGATAGGTTTGGGTTTGGTTTTGTTACACAGTTTCAGTGCTAGGAAAATACCTGGTCCAACAGACACTTACACTACATCTGCAGTAATAGACTGAATAAAATCACGTGCAAGCCCGAGCACTGTCAAGATCTGTTGTGACAGTTGGTCTCTGGGTCAGAAAGAGGATCCCTCAGCTGTTATATCTGATACAGTTGTTAACCTTAGGACAGCAGAATGCAGCAAGAGATCTCATAATTCTTTTATACTGTACTATTATTGAAATTTTTTTCTTTAGTATTATATTGAAATATTTGGAAAAAAATGCCTAACAAGGCGAAATGCAGGTAGTTCAATTTATAGTAGCAAATTTGCTAAAAATAAAATTTAATTTTTAGGAGAATACTGTAAATTTTGTATAGTTACTGTTAAAGTAAGCAGAATCACTGTGTCAGTGGTCTGGTTGTTTAACAGATTCCCTAACTATACAGTGAGTCTAAAAATAAAAAGGTGTGGTTCATGTAGCCTGTTGCACATTCAGACTTCAGAAGTGGATCATGCAGAAAAAGATCCAGCCTTATTTTCAGACTTTCTAGTGGTGGAGAGTCTGTTAGAGCCTTTGGAAAATTGTTTCAGTAGCTAATTCACTGTCTTTAATATAATGAATTTTACTGGCTTCAGCTCTGCGTGTTTACATTTATAAATCTTAGAAGCTACAAGTAGGAATAAGTAGATCAGTCAGTCTGTTCCCTGATATGCTATCCAGGTATTGAACTGATGTTAGATTCAGATTTTATTTAAAATCATGAGGAAAAGGATGAAATCATGTTTATAATATGTTACATCTTCTCATAAGTAGTTTGTGAGCATAACTACAGCATTAGATTGTGTCCAGGAGCATTCCCTGGCGCTGGAGTGTCACTGTCTGCATTACTGACATGCTGGAACACAGCTGCACCTAGAGCTCCCCTGAAACAGTCCCTGGGGACAGTTTAGCACTTCCAGGGGCCATTGTCGCTGGCAATTTGCCTGCAGTCACCTTTTTTTGGAGGCTAAATCAGTTTATTGGCATAAATGTGCATCATTCTGTAGCAATTGGCATCAGTATCTGGGAATATTCACATTATCTTATGTCTGGTTTCTTTCTGTAAACGTAAATTAATCAGAGACCTTGCTGTAGGACTTCTCCTTTACTGAAACAGAATTATTAGAATGGTTTAATGTTTTATCCTCTTTGTGTGCTCTTATTACAGGCTTTCCTTCTTCTGGGGAATTGGCATGAACTTCTATATGGAAATAGCCAAGCTGAGAGCTGGGAGGCGGCTGTGGGCTCACTTGATAGAGAAAATGTTTAAACCCAAGGATCCCAAATCTCTTCTGCTGAGAGCTCATTGTCAGACTTCGGGCTGGTCACTCACTGAGCAGGTTAGAATTCAGACTCTCATCAACTTCCTCATTTAAATATGTTTTCATGGTGTATATCTTAACGGGAGCTGCTGGTTTTACTCATAAAGATGCAGCTTTCTGAAGGAGACAATTTTTCTTACTTTCAGTCAGATGACAGATGTGTTGGATACAACTTTCTGCTTATGTAGCACAAAAAGCCTTGTTGAGTGTCACAGAATCACAGAGCCATATGCGGTTGGAAGGGACCTCTGGAGATCATCTAGTCCAACCTCCCTGCCAGAGCAGGTCCTCCCAGAGCAGGTGCACAGGAATGTGTCCAGCCGGGTTGTGAATGTCTCCAGAGACGGAAACTCCACCATCTCTCCAGGCAGCCTGTTCCAGTGCTCTGCCACCCTCAAAGTGATGAAATTCCTCCTCATGTTTAGGTGGAACTTCTTACGTTCAAGTTTGTGCCCATTACCTCTTGTCCTGTCACTGGGCACCACTGGAAAAAGACTGGCCCCATCCTCTTCACACCTACCCTTGAAGTAATTGCAGGCATTGATCAGATCCCCCCTCAGTCTTCTCTTCTCCAGACTAAGAAGACCCAAGTGCCTCAGCCTTTACTTGTAAGAGAGATGCTCCAGGCCCCTAATAGTCTTTGTAGCCCTCTGCTGTATTCTGGATGGAGAACATTGGGACTACCTGTTCAAGCCTCTCCAACTTGGATTCATTAAGTTCTTTGAAACTCCACTAAATATAAGTTAGGCTTTGCTTTGTTATCATGACTGATTCACTCATACGCTGATAATTTTGACTTTCTTTATGGATTGATCTCTTTATCCAAGATTCTGATAAGTGATATACCAGTTTGATTGGATGCTTATCGTTTTCTTATGGCCTTATTTTTCTTACGGCCTCAATTTGTGCCAGGGGAGGTTTAGATTGGATATTAGGAAAAAAATTTATGCTGAAAGGATTATCAAGCATTGGAACAGACTGCCCAGGGAAGTGGTGGGGAGTCACCATCCGTGGAGTTATTTAAATTATGGGCAGCCGTGGTGCTTCGAGATATGGTTTAGTGGTGGTTTTTGTCAGTGTTAGGCTGACGGTTGGACTCAGTGTTCTGAAAAGTCCTTTCCCACCTGGGCAATTCTATGAGTCTATGATTCTTTTTCAGTTTTTATTATGATTCCAGCGTTTCAGTGGGAAATCCTGCATTCATTTCATTGCAGTGGTACGTGTGTCTGTGTGAGTGATCTGCCTCAGCCCAGTGGCAGAACCATGGTGCTTCAGAGCTCTCCTTTTCCTTCCAGGATCCCTTTAACAACGTTATCCGCACGACAATCGAGGCCATGGCGGCGGTGTTTGGAGGCACACAGTCTTTGCACACAAATTCATTTGATGAAGCCTTGGGTTTGCCGACAGTGAAGAGCGCTCGCATCGCTCGCAACACGCAGATCATCATTCAGGAGGAGTCGGGTATTCCTAAAGTGGCAGACCCCTGGGGGGGATCCTACCTCATGGAGTCCCTCACCAACGACGTCTATGACTTCCATTTCTTGAAACTAGGCAGAAATTTAATTTTTTGTCATTACACTTTAGCACTAACACCTAGTTTTTTGGCTCAAAGACAATAGCTGGCATCTGACAGTTAAGAGCTCTGCTGACATTGAGAAGGAACAGCAGTGCTGGTGGGAGGGTGAATGCTGGGGGTAGCAGAGTTTCGGATGCTGCTTTCAGGTTGCAGCAACAAGTCTGCCAAGAGCTCTAACTGCCCCGTTCCCTGCTTTATATGAGTAATTTTCTCCTTCTGCAGGTTTAGAAATGCATCACTTTGCTTTACAAATAAACAATGTACGTCACAAGAGCCAGGGTAACAGTCAGTGTGTGTGTGTTTAATTTGTGATAAAGAGAAGGTAATGTGACCTAATTTATCACACTTGTGTCTCCAGCTAAGCTAAGTAGAATTTATATATATAAGCCCTGATACTGTCTGTCTATCACATTTATAACTTGTGGCTAAACTGTTATTCAGTAATTTGTTAAGCTGATTGTGTGACTCAGCTAGAAGGACTACAATATTTCTTTTTTTTCATCTAAAAGCTTTTTTATTTAAAGTTTAGGCCTAGAAGACCTTGGACAGGTTTGGGGAGGGAACAGTGTTGAACAGCAAAAATTGGTTTGTTGTCCAGGCTTAGATAATGTAAAATAAAATTGATAAATTTAGATCCAGTCGTAATGCAAGTCTGTTCAACACTTCTGAATTTCTCTCTCTGTTGTTTTTTTTTTGTTTTCTTTTTTCTTTTTCATTTAGCTGGCCAGCAGGGATTATCTGTTGCTTTTGATTTAGCCACCCACCGTGGTTATGATTCAGACAATCCACGAGTTCGAGGAGACGTCGGAATGGCTGGAGTTGCCATTGATACAGTGGAAGACACCAAAATCCTTTTTGATGGAATTCCTCTAGAGAAAATGTCGGTTTCTATGACAATGAACGGGGCAGTCATTCCCGTGTTGGCAACGTTCATTGTCACTGGAGAAGAACAGGGAGTGCCTCAGGCCAAGCTGACAGGGACAATCCAAAATGACATCTTGAAGGAGTTCATGGTCCGAAATACTTACATTTTCCCCCCAGAACCATCCATGCGGATTATTGCTGACATCTTCCAGTACACTTCAAAGGTATTTATCATTTAAATGTATTTACTTCGGTTATTATATATAGTTAACTATTTATGAGGCACTTTGGAGAACAAAGCAGAAGATGGGAAGACCTGTCATAGTGAAGAATGATGTGGTTTTGGAAGGGGCCGGGAGGAGAAGTGAAGATCCCAAATCACTTACAGCATTAATTTTAAGATTTTTAAGTCAATCCAAATCAAAGTCAGATTAAGGTGAGCCTAATCCTAAAAAGGCGGCGGGAAGCTTGGAGGCAAGTAACAGACAGGCTGTCCTTTGCATAGAAAGTAAGAAGCCACAAACTTAAGAAGCCTTTCACAGCTATAAGGAGGAGTGAAGAGGTAAGAAATCCTGGAGGACTTCTGCTGTGAAATTGAGTATGAAAAGCAGATCATGAAAGGAGGGAAGTCCTGAACTGATGAGTGGAAGTTCAGTACTACCGGTTGTTTCCTTAGCTGTGTTTTTGTTGGAGAGTTGGAACACAGCCTGTAATGGAGAAGGAGATTTATCATGGTGGGTGATAGTTTAAGCACAAGAAATAGCACAAAAAGGTAAAAGCATGTAACATTTAGATCTGCAAATACCATTTAACAGAGATGGGTTGTATTCGCAATCGACAAAGAGTGGATTGTTTGTGAATGTTGGTAGAACAATTATCTGATCCTTCCTTCTTCTGCTGTCATAAAATGGTTTGAGTTGGAAGGGATCTTTAAAGGTCATCTAGTCTAATCCCCCTGCAATGTCCTACCATGTTCTCTTTATTTTTTTGTAGTATATGCCAAAATTCAATTCCATTTCAATCAGCGGATACCATATGCAAGAGGCAGGAGCCGACACCATCCTCGAATTAGCTTATACTATAGCAGATGGCTTGGAGTACTGCAGAACTGGACTTAAAGCTGGCCTTACCATTGATGAATTTGCACCAAGGTGAGCTAAAGAAATTTGCAAGTATAAAACTGGCTTTTGGTAAAACCTCTAGAGTTTAATATCAAAGTCAGTATTTTTACACATACAAGCAATGATATTGGCAGCGCTCACATTGCAGATAGGTTTGGGTTTGGTTTTGTTACACAGTTTCAGTGGTAGGAAAATACCTGGTCCAACAGACACTTGCACTACATCTACAGTAATAGACTGAATAAAATCACATACAAGCCCAAGCACTGTCAAGGTCTGTTGTGACAGTTGGTCTCTGGGTCAGAAAGAAGATCTCTCAGCTGCTATATCTGATACAGTTGTTAACCTTAGGATGGCAGAATGCAGCAAGAACTCTTATAATTCTTTTATACTGTAGTATTATTGAAATTTTTTTCATTAGTATTATTTTGAAATATTTGGAAAAAAAATGCCTAACAAGGCGAAATGCAGGTAGTTCAATTTACAGTTGCAAATTTGCTAAAAATAAAATTTAATTTTAAGGAGAATACTGTAAATTTTGTATAGTTACTGTTAAAGTAAGCAGAATCACTGTGTCAGTGGTCTGGTTGTTTAACAGATTCCCTAACTATATGGTGAGTCTAAAAATAAAAAGGTGTGGTTCATGTAGCCTGTTGCACATTCAGACTTCAGAAGTGGATCATGCAGAAAAAGATCCAGCCTTATTTTCAGACTTTCTAGTGGTGGAGAGTCTGTTAGAGCCTTTGGAAAATTGTTTCAGTAGCTAATTCACTGTCTTTAATATAATGAATTTTACTGGCTTCAGCTCTGCGTGTTTACATTTATAAATCTTAGAAGCTACAAGTAGGAATAAGTAGATCAGTCAGTCTGTTCCCTGATATGCTATCCAGGTATTGAACTGATGTTAGATTCAGATTTTATTTAAAATCATGAGGAAAAGGATGAAATCATGT